TTACGCTTGAACTGACTCTTCTTGAAATCAACTACCTAAGGAAAATTAAGTAGCTAGATAGTAATTAATTAAATTATTATTTTCATAGTCTCATCATAGAGAAAAAAGAAAGAAAGAAAGAAAGCAGATCATGACTTCTACGTAAATATAGCAATAAGAACACAATGATAATTTTATTTAATTTTTTGGAGTCAATGGTGGTCATAGATCATAATTATACTTCTTTTCAGTTAGACTCAGTTTCGGTTCTTTTTGACTTATTTTTTTTTTCTTTTCATAAAGACATCATTAGCAAGATAAAGTGCACCGTCTTTCAATTTAGTTGAAAACTATACAATTTTTTGTGACACATAGATTAATCTTAGTACGTTAATTATAGTGAATAATGATGAAACGAATTGATTCGTTGAATTTGAACTTAATGAAATTCACTTAATTCCAACTCAATACCCCTCGATCGATCTTAACCCGGCTTGAGACACAAACTTAGATAAGAGTTTCAACATAATTTGAGTCCCCTTTTGAACCAGATTCTCATTCTTCCATTCATTTTCAATCATACATTTTTCATCACATTAATAACTTTTCCTTCCTTTTCAATCAGATATTCACAATCACATCACAAAAAAAATAAAAAAAAGGAAAAAAAAATTCTCTCATAAAAAATGTGCAACGTACATACTCTGAATTTAAATTGAGCTCATTGTAAGGCCCGACTGTGAAACAAGATCACATATACATTGGGAAAATTACACGAATCAGGTGTTTAAAAAGTTAATTTTCAAAAATAAGGTGTAAAGTTTATTTATTCAAAACTCAGATAATATATATTAAATCCCCACTTAATAACCCTAATTTTAACGCACACTACTCCCTCCCCTCCATCTCTCGCCTCTCGTCTTCCTCCCTTCCCTCCCTGTGCCGTTCACAACGTCACGACGGCAGCATATCCCTGATCTCAAACCTCCGCCCCTGTGAAAGTCTTGAGCATCTTGATGTGAGTTCGTGCTCCCATATAACCAGAATGAGATGCAAGGAGGTTGGATTGTAGTTTTCGGAGAGATGTAGAGTGAATTTTGTAGCCAGATGTGTTACGCTGAGACTATGGTTAGTGAATATATGGCAAGTTCTGTTACATTGAAGGCCCCTTTGTTTGGTTGGAGCTTTTCCGTCCCTGGGATCGTTCGCCATTTTATTTTGCCCTAAATTATTGTTTATGTATTCTAGTGCTTTTGATTTCTTTTTCATTTATTTCTCTCCACATCTCTGCACTAGCATTTGTCATTTTATGTTCAATGAATTGGGTATCAATAACTAAGACATTTGTGAATATTTTTTGACGATTATTTCTATTTGATCTATGAATTGAGAATGTTTGAGGGAATTTATTGTTTAGACATTTGTAGAGAACTATTTTGTTAGCAACTGTGGATTTTGAGTGCAGTGTAAAGTAGGTTTTGAAAATAATGGTGTAAAAGTTAAATTGGTCATTCAACTTATTTTCTTAAGCCATCGAAGTTTATTTTGGGCGGTGGTGGTGGTTGGTGTTATTGTTGGTGGATGGTTGCGGCGGTGGAGGTGGTGGTGGCGGTAGGGATGCGACGAAAAGTGTCTGTGATCAACTATTTGATTGATTTGTGACTAAATAGTATGTGTGACCTAAAAAATATATAATCCGTGACCGTGGAAAAATCTATGACCACCTAATTTGAAAATCTGTGACTGTGTGACCTATAAATTTTGATATGTGACCAACTAATTTTGAAATCTGTGACCGACGAATTAAATGTAACCTACAAATTTTTTTATACGTGACCATTAAAAAATCTATGACCAACTAATTTGGAAATTCGTGACCCGCAAATAAATTGTGACCGAAAATTAATTTTTAACTAATTAATATTAATTAATTAATAAATACCTGATTTTGCAAGTTTGAAATTTAACACCTGATATTTGCAATTGCTAAAGTTAATACCTGATTTGTGAACTCTTCCTATATACATATATGCAAATAGATAATCTCTTAACTGGTTCGTATTTGACTTGAAATAAATTGATAGTAAACTTTTTTACTCAAAGATATAAAATTGATAAGGTTGTTATATCGAAGTGTACAAATTATTTTAATTTTTCCAAGCTCGTGTCTCGTCATTTAAAATTCTACTTTTCACAATGAATGCAAAGTTTCCCTCTTAATTGTCATTTATAATTAAACATTTTTGTTTTCAATTTGGTTGATAATTAGATTAGAATTAAGTTAATATTATTTATCTCATCTAATTAATTGTGTGTGTCTATTCAATTATGGTTTGATATTTGAAAGTGTTAGATTTATATTTTGTATTGGTAATTCTGTGAATAAATTGATCAACTTGAACATTTATAAAAGTTTA